GCCTCTGAAGATTGTTTGCAGGAACATAACTGGAAGTTCCATGCATCCTGTGGGCAGATGGAGGAGCAGGGCTGGAGGAGGGGCAGGGCTTCGGCTGAGAAAGGCTTTTCTGCCAGGTATGTCCATCCTAGGCTGGAACAGGTCCACTTAAGAGATGATGAGCCCTGTGTAGGTGCGTTGCTTCAACAGCTGTGGAACCTCAGAGGATCTGATGAGTGTCCAGGGTACTCCGACTCCAGCACCATGCTCACCACATGAGCAAAGCAGCCCCTGCATATTGAGAATTTGTATTGCAAAAGCAGTGTGCATTCACTGTAGAAACACTGAAAAGGAAAGATCTGTATGTTCCCACTTTGCAGGTATTTTGTAAGCACCTAGGCAGTCCCTAGGTGTTGAAGGTACAGGTCAGTAATTCCAGACATTAGGGCCAGAGGGCAGGCTTGTGTTTAACAATGAAGGAAATAGACACTTTGGTGAGATAAAGATAAATAGGGGCATGAAGCTACCTCAGACACGGTTCTCAGAAGACACAGCTCTGAGGTGACAGGTCTGAGACCACACGGCTGAGAAGGAGAAACCAACCAGATTCAAGTGAGGCAGCTGGGGTCAGGAAAGGTCCCATCACGTTAGGACAGGAAGGAAGGCTGCATGGCTGGACATGGTGAGCACGGGTGTGAGCGGACAAGATGAGGAAGAGGCTCAGGCCAAACCATGGGGGGAAGTAGGGTCCATAGAGAGTTTGGGGTGTGATGAGGTGGGAGATAGCTTGGCAGCCTCATACTGCCTGCTTTGTAGGGAGTGGACCACAAGCGGGGCTGGTGGAAGGGAGAGCTGGAACAAACTTCCATCTATGGGAGTAAGAGGGTAGAATCAAGGAAGACAGAAGCCGGGGCTTTGGGATATATGTTAAAGAAAAGGTGATGAGAGCTCCCTGGGGACCAGCTGGTTTGACCTCCTCAATACCCAGCCTCTGATGCAGCAGGTCCCTGCATGGAGCTCACACTACCTAAGGGAACCCACTTTGCTATAGAATGGTTGCATCTGGTGGAAAAAATGTATTTTCTGACTCCGTGGATTAGACATGCACAACGAGTGAGAGAGAACTCCTGAGAGACTCTAGGGTCTCATCCAAAGCTACTAGTTAGGGTTGGTGTCATTTCCTGTTAGGGGGTGCTAAGGGAAGGATGTTCATGAGCCACCGAAAGCTCCATTCTGAGGGTGTGAGGGCTGAGTTGTCTGTCAGACATTCTGGTAGAAACATCAGGTAAGCAGTGTCTGGGTCAGGACCACGGTGGAGAGAGGAGCATGTGAGCTCCTGGGCATGTTATGGGTAGTGGGCTGCGTAGAAGAGAGACTCGCCCACTGAAGTGGGGCACTGCAAGAGGTCAGGCAAGCCAGGGCCAGAGAGGTGATGTTGAGTTTGGTCACTTGGAGGTTGGTGACCTTGGGAAGAACAGAGGACAATGGGTAGAAAGAGAAAAGGAGCAGTGCAGAGGTTTCAGCAGTAAGCATAAAGAAGTCAGTCAGACTACTGACCATCCTTTCAGATTTTCTCTGTCCTTTCTCACAGTGTGTATTTTATCATATATGTGTGTACATATAACCTTTTAAAAACAAAACTGGATTCTCTATACCCCTTATTTTGAAATTAGCTTTCACTTAATCCTAAATCTTTTGACCACCTGCCATGTACTGGAACTGTTCCAGGGCCTGAGACAGGGCAGCGAGCAAAGGCACCCTCTCCTCGCCTCCCAGAGCTGGCTTTCTGCTGAGCGACCTAGACAGCAAACAAGTCAGCAGTAGGTCACAGTGTATTAAAGGATTGTCTAATCCAAGAGAGATGAATCAGGGGAGCATGCTTTGCTGCAGCAGGCATCACTAAACATTATTTCATGTCACAAAGCATTTTCCATCATGAAATGCACATTTAACCTGTGTCATAGGAAAGCCTCAGAAGAGCAGCTGATGATGCAGTGTGTTGAGGAGCTCACCTGACAACCAGCTGAAGCCTCACCTTACTGACAAGCTACCTGTACAGATAGGCACCTCTTTTGTTTCTCAGTATCGAGCTTTTGAATAAACTGGTTTCATGTATGTAGAAAAATAACTGGAAATGTCGAAATAGACAAAAATAAGTAGGACGTTCTAGGCACTGTTGAGGAGAAAATTATCCTCGTGAGTGTTAGAGTTTGGGCTACAGACTTTCCCTGGGTCCATGGAAAAGGCATATTTAAGCAGTGCCTCTAAGTGAGTACCAGGGGGTGGTCCAGGTGATGGGCATGTGAGGAAAGCCCACAGCAGGAAGCTGCTGTCTGTACCTGTCCTAACAGTGGCAGAAGCAGTCAAAATGACAGTTGCAGCCCAACTAAGGCTGAGCGCAAAGGCAAAACGGGATTTACCATAGTGAGTGACAGCTAATGTCTAAAAAACAAGACTGAGAACCACAGTATGATGACAGGCCCCTATGGACAGTGGCTGGAATGAAGGTGACAGTCCCATCACCATGGTCTGTGTTGTAGAAAAGTGGTTGGAGACCAGGCGAAGGCAGTGCATGGCACCAGTGGGAGCTAGTCTTAAGAAGCATAAAAAAAGGCATCACAGATGTTGTTTATCCCTAAAATTAAATAGCCCAAGAATGTGCCCTGAGCTGTCCTTGCAATACCCCATCTTTACTGTCAAAATCACCTTCAGCACAGGAAGTCATACCAGCAGCCATGTGGCTGCTACCACCCAGTGCAGCCAGACCGCCACACTCCCAGGGAGGCCCCTGCTCAGGGATGAATCTGAAATGTTCCCTCAGAGCCATACAGATGTGCCCCAGTGTGCCTGGAGGATAGGCCCTTGGCAGGCTGCCTCATCACAGCCTGTCTTTGTCACATGTCGATTGGTTTTGGTGTGGGACTCACAGCAGAGGCCAGTGCCAATGTGAGTGTTAGTGACAAAGAGATGAACTTAACAAATGATAGTGGTGTTAAGATTTATATAAATTAAAAAGTATTTTTTAACACTTAAAATATTGTTCTTGAAGACTTACAATTTTAGTTGAGGCTCATGGTAGGTGGCAGCTATGTCAAGGGCCCCGAAAATAGGGACAGCTAAGAGCCAGGGTGCATCTGAGGCAGGTCTCAAAGATGATCTGCCCCCTGCCCTGCCCTGCCAGAGAGAGTAAGCACAAGGACTTGGGGAAAGCAGCTGTGGTCTGGGGGGTTGGGCCTGCTAGGTATAAAGCTAGCAGGCATGGAAGGACAGTGATGGGAAGGATGGGCACATGCTGCAGGACACTGGGGGACCACAGGCAAGTGGGGGAGGATCAGGAGGGGAATGATGGAGGCCAGCAGCTAGCAGACTTATGGCCATGAAGCTAGGGTGATGTGGTCAAACCAGAAAGCAGTAATGGATACTGAGAGAATGGAGCTCACACCTAATCCATTTTTAACACACGCCTGAGAGAAAACAAGGACTTCAGAAGGAGGCTGAAGCAGCCTCCTGGCTGGGCAGCACCTGGGTGAGGAAGGCAGTCAGGTGGCAGTGGAGATCTTGGATGCAGGTGCAGTCAGGGACCAGCATGAGCATCACCAAGATTGTTGGCCCTGCATTTTCAGAGTCCAGGTGATGTGCACAGATGGAAGTTAGAGAAGCGCTGGGCTACAGGGTAGAAGAGTTGGAAGTGCAGGTGGGGCTCACAGAGCTAGGGATGGCTGAGGCTCTAAAAGACCCACTGCAGGGACAGAGCAGAGTGTAATAAAGGAATATGTAGGGCCTCACTCTTGAGGGGGCAGGGCTGAACCTGCAATGCAAGCATCCAAGGATTGTCACAAATGCAGAATGAAGCCAGAAGAGAAGTAGTGATTCCAGGAGATGTATTGGCTCACTGTCTCTCCAGAGATGTCTTCTTGTTAACAGTGTTCTTCAACTTGAGTGTAAGTGTAGACTACTTAAAATAACCTTCTGGCAGATGAAGTTTTAGAAACTGGATAGACAAATGAGCCACTGATAGTCAATGTTAGGTGTTATTAGGGGCTTCATCAAGAGCACTGACTTGATGATTGCCTAGAGAAAAGTCTGTTGCCTCTGTTTGGTAGGTATGCTTATGTTTACAGCCACTTGTAGGGTAATTTATGTTAAGAAGAGGCTGTTTCACATTACTCTGTGTCTATGTGTGTCTGTGTGCTCTCTGTGTGTCTGTGTCTTTGTGTACCTATGTGTATGTGTCTGTTTATTAAAGAAGTATCTTTTCTCTAACAGGTGCCTCATCAAATGTGAAACCTCCACTATTTCTTCAATGTGGGCTGTTATAAGCGGGTGCCCAGAAGTGGTCTGAAAGGGGGCAGAGAGGAGAGAATGTACAGCTCATGGCCAGGGGTTTTGAGAGGATGTCACTCTTCTTGCCTCAAGTCAGAGGCTTGTAGGTCCCATCTCTTGGTCAAAGGTGTGTTACATGGTATGTCCACATGCCTAGTATTTCAGCTCCCTGGTGTCTAACTACCACATATAAGACAATAAACATTCAGTGTTTAAGTGAAGAGTATACAGCAACATCATCACTGCATGTAGCTCTGACCAGCAGTGCATGTTCCTTACTGCTGTCTGTACCTTGAGAGAGCAATGGGCATAAGTTCATCCAGGCTCCATCTCATGTGCCTGCTGACTGTCAGGGCCAGCTCCTAAGCCCCACAGTGGGAGTTCTCTTTTCAATGTGTCTCTTAGAATTGTCTCACTCACAAAAAAAAACAAAACAAACAAACAAAAAAACCAGAAGTTTCTGTGGCCACGTTTTTCCAATGTTCTGTTTTCAGGTTTCACACTGAGAGCGTGGGTTTGAAATCAAATGATTATGCATGCAGAAGGGCAGACAGCAGGTTAGTTAGCGCTGTATGGCCAAGTCCCAGGAGGAAAGGGCCTCCCCTGATGGAGGGCCTGGCTCCAGTGTCAAAGGTTGTCAGTTTTACAACTGTTTCTATGATATGGGTGCTGACTGATGTCCCTCTTTGTTTTGACAGGTAGACTCTGTGTGCCCTTGGCCGTGAGGGGAGACAGGCATGGCCTCAGGTGTGGCTGACCACCTGCCCTTCTTCTTTGGCAACATCACCCGGGAGGAGGCTGAGGACTACCTGGTCCAGGGTGGCATGAGTGACGGGCTCTACCTGCTGCGCCAGAGCCGCAATTACCTGGGTGGCTTCGCCCTGTCAGTGGCACACGGGCGCAAAGCACACCACTACACCATTGAGCGGGAGCTGAATGGGACCTATGCCATCGCGGGTGGCAGGGCACATGCCAGCCCTGCTGAGCTCTGCCACTACCACTCCCAAGAGTCAGATGGCCTCATCTGCCTCCTCAAGAAGCCTTTCAACCGGCCGCCTGGGGTGCAGCCCAAGACTGGACCCTTCGAGGACCTGAAGGAGAACCTTATCCGGGAGTACGTGAAGCAGACCTGGAACCTGCAGGTGGGCTGCACCAGTCCCACCACTGAATATAGTCTTGTGTGAGCCCTGCAGTTCCATATCCTAGCCTGTGCGGCAGAGCTAAGCATTGCTGCCTCTGATAAGCAGCCTTAGTCATCAACTTGAACCAAAAAATGCTTTGCTCCAAGAAGGCAGCCTTTCCTTTTTTGTGGTCACAGTTCAGAGGGCGTCCCCTGCATGCCAGCGATGTGGGTTTCTCTACCGCAGGAAACCACTGTCACCCAGTTCATGCTGAGCCGCCCTTTCAGAGAGACTTCACAGGCATCTCTTGGTCCTTGTTTACCTAAGGGGGTCATACCAGACAAAATGGGCACTGGATTTTATAGCTTTATAACCTCTCTCACAGAACTTTCTGTGTCGGCACACACATTTATTAACCTCTTTTGGCTGCCTGATATTCTCTCCTATGCACTGTAATTTACTGAACTTTAATTGTTTACAAATAATGCTGTTAGTAAGATCTCTCTATACCTATCCCTCTGAGCTGTCAGGCAATATCTTCAGGATACACTTGAACAGGGTGGGTTTACCACAGAGAAGAGGATGTGTGTTTAATATGTGTGTATTGATACCTTGCCATCCAGAAAGGTCCCATAGGCTGTGACACCTTATATTCCTGTAGTCTCCTGCTCAGACTTCTGTGCTCAACCATTCCTCCTGAGCTTCCTGGATGTGTGTGCCCCACAATTTGCTGTTAGCTGAAATGTACAGAGTTATGACCACATACTTTTGAGGATTATATTCTGTGACTCTCTTTTTACTCCTTTAATATATTCTATACTAAATTAAATCTTGCAGACATATAGTAATACTGTGTGCCCGGTATTTTTCATTAGCATTTTTGGATGTTAGACCACCCTTTTACTCTTTATAAAGTTACATAAATCAGATTCATTGAGTTGTAATTTATGGGTATAAGATTCATCCTTTTTAGGTGTACAGTGCTATGAATGTTGATAAACACATAGCATAAGGTAGCCCCTGTCACAACCAAGGTATGCAACAGCTCTGTTATCCATCAAGCACCCTTGTACCACCCCAACCCTAGCCCTGGAAGCCCCTCATCCAATTTCTATTCTATAGTTCTGCCTTTCCAGAATGCCATATAAATGAACTCATACAGTATGTAGCCCTTTCAGATGGGCTTCTTTCACTCAATACAGTGCCTTTTCTAGTCAGTTGTGTGGCTCCCCTGTCAGGAGATCTCTTTTTCATGGGTGAGGATTATCCCACGTTCTTTTCACTTTGACCTCTGCTTGCTATGTTTTCAGGTCTCTCTGGTATGCAGCCTATCACTGCTTTGGTTTTTGTGTTTCATTTGTGAGGCATGAGAAAATTCCCATATTCCCTCTTCCTTTCCATCTCCTCATTTGTGTTGGTTATATTTTTTTTATTTCTTGTGGTTCTTTTAAACAAATTTAACTGTATTGAATTGAGAGAGAGAGAAAAAAAACTGTCAGTTTGATTTTCCACTCATTTACTCATGCATTGGTTGATTCTTGTATGTGCTCTGACTGGGAACCTAACCTGCAACCTTGGCTTATTGAGATGACACTCTAACCAACTAAGCTACCCAGCCAAAGCTTTTGTGGTTCTTTTTATAATTTCAAATAATCAAACTTTGGTTGATTATTTGTTACTGTACAGAATATGTATTTCTCTCCCATCAGAACAATGATAATGCAAATTCACTCAGCTGTCAGCCTTTCTGCCACTTTTGTTTTCATACCAGTCGTCCCTGTACTTTCTGTGATCATGGCACCTGCAGTTCCAGGCGCCAGTGTGTGTGGGTGCAGAGTGCAGCCTTAAGAGGCAGGCAGAAAAGCACACTTAATGTTTCTTAATTGTTAGTAGATGATCAAGCTCAATACAGAACAATAAATAAGTTCTACTAGACAACTAATCCAAGGAAGGCAGGAGACATGTTCTCTAGACCTCGTGGATTGTACCAGGTGGTTTCTAAAACTAGTGCAGCTTTTAGAAGGCCAATAAATCTCCATATTGTAAAGTCTATTTTGCTGTTTACACACTGAAGGTATTTAAGTATTCTATAAGATCTTATTGGCTTTATTTATTGAGTGAATGAACAAACACATTTGATTGTATTTTGTCATGTCAGAACTTAAAACAGATTGGAAATGGTTTCACTGCCATTTTTCACTTAACACAGTGTTGCTCTGCTCTCCCGCATGTGACAGGGCCAAGCTCTGGAGCAGGCCATTATCAGCCAGAAGCCTCAGCTGGAGAAGCTGATCGCCACCACGGCCCATGAGAAAATGCCCTGGTTCCATGGAAAAATCTCTCGGGATGAATCTGAGCAAATTGTCCTGATAGGATCAAAGACAAATGGAAAATTTTTGTAAGTATTATGTCTTTTCCTCCCACTCATACCTCCAGGCCTGCTCGGACTATCGGGTAACTCAGGCCTTTCATTACTAGACCCATGCAACTCAGGAAGGAGCCACACATACTAGCCTGCCAGGAGATGTTTCCGGTCAGAGCTATCCCTTGTAATTCAGTGTTTGTTTTGCCCCATCAGACCCCAAAATGAACAGTTTTCTTGGGCACTGAGGGATATAATTTAAAGATACAATGTTATTCAGCCTCAGAGTCTGCTTTTAATGGCAAATACAGGATGCATAGCAATATTCATTTAAGCCAAACATACCACAGTGTGTTCACTCACATTTCCCTGAAGATCTTGGACTTTACTTCTGTTTTACTTGGAACTAAGTGCCAGGAGAGCAGATATTAAAGAAAGTTCACTGAGAGTAGCTCATGGGAAAGAGAGTGCAGGCATTTTGATCACAAGCTGGTTTATGGACTTCAGCCTTATCATCTCAGGGATGAGATGAGTATCCCAAGTCCTGCTTATTGTTATCTTTAGTGGTCAAGGTAGACCTCAGTACTGAGGTCTTAGAATTACCAGCTACCTCCAGACAGGGTCTGTGGTCAAGAGAAAGGAATGACCTGTCTTGGATAGGTGTCCATTTCATTCCCCAAGGTGCCCTGGCTAAAGTGACACAGCTGCACTGCAGGCAAGGCAGTCAGCTGTTTGTCACTGTTCAGTGACCCTCCAGAGATGCTCACTGGGTGTTCCAGTGGGCAAGGGTCCCATTCTCACTTTGGACACTTAACAAAAGGCCAAATAGACCCATGAACAGGCAGTCATACCCAGCTAACTTTGTAACCATTTCCTAGAAATATGTTGTCTTGAAGTATCTGTTTAAACAATTTTCCTTAGACTTTGCCATAATACTTACTATTTAAGAAATGATCTTAAACACATACTTTTTTTAAACAAAGTAGTCCTAAAAATAAGTGCAGAGAGCCAAGTTGGTACTAGCAGTAAATGGATTGATGCCATAGTGGATGCAGTAAGGGCTGCCAGCAGAAACTCCGTGCTCTGGGAGATACTTTTTTCTTGGTGTAGCACCTCAGGTTTGGACTTTTACCATCTTCTTAGGAATAATTTCCAACACAAATGTCACGGGACTATGTACATAGCATCTTGGTGTTTTATCAACCCCAAATTGCATAATCTAAACAACAAGCGTCTGCTGGTTCAGATGCCCACTCTCAGGTTGCTGGGAATCAGCTGCAATCAAAGAGGGCTGCCCGCTCCCCATTTAGACAAGGCGTGCTGCAAGTAGTACCTGCCCTGGAACAGCCCAGGGGCTCTACTAGCTGTTGGTTCCTGCCCCACTAATTCTTCTCAGGCCTCATTCACATTTTCCTAAAAAATGTGTTACCTGCCTACTTTCCAACCGTTTAAATGGTCCCTCTTTGAACCAATATTTACTGGTGTCCATAGTTATGTGAGGCACCAAATGCCAACATCATTCTGGACATTGGGGGTAGAGACGTGAGCCACACCAGCATCTGCCTCATGGAGCCTGCATCTCAGTGGCAGAAACAGACACTGAGCCATTGAATGGGAACTTCACAGGATGTCGGTGCCTATGGTGAAGGGAACAGAGCATGCTGGCCAGGGCACCTGGTTCTGTCTCATGCTGGGTGGTGAGGAAGGCCCTTGCTGTGAAGCAGAAATTTGACCAAAGATCTGAAGGCAGTGGGAGCCACCCAGTGAGGGAGTAGCACTTGTGGGTGATCTGAGGCAGGAGTATGCTTGGGAAGCTCACTGTAAGTGGGAGGACTTGCTTTGGGCAAGTTGGTCTGTCCATTTTGGGGCATGTGTTAGGGAAGATCCAAATAAAGTTCAATGGGACTTGTCTGGCTGGATGTAGGAAGAGACAGTGGGGAGTTTGGGAGTAAGCACACTCACTCTGTACATTCATGTGAACACCGGGCAGGGATTCCCAGCCCAGGGCCTCTGGGTGGAGGTCAGAGCTCTGCTGCATTAGTGATGCCAGGGACAGATGCTGTTAGGGGTGTGTACCCTTGGCTCTCTGAGGCCTTGTGTGATGGTACAATTGGCCATTCTGAGAAATTGGTCATAGCTCAGGCATGACTAAAATGCAAATTTGTTAGAAAAGGGAAACAAAGCTTGTTTTCCAAAAATTATGAATTCCATCCCTCAGAGGAAGGATCCAAGATTGGTAGGGTTCAAAGCATATACAATTTGAAGACCCTCTTTTTAAAAAGTACAAATTAGGTGCAAAATATACTTGTAGAATAAGAAAAAAATCACAAATTTTTAAGGCTGATAAATACTACAAACACAAAATTTAGAGAAAAAAATATATAATTTTTCACTTCCTTACACCTCTCAGTAGCACCTTTTATTTTCTTTTTTTGACTACATAGTGAATAAACACCTCTTCCTTTAATAGTAATTTGTTAATATTTTTCCACTTACAAGAGAAAGAAAGCTAAGCCCTTCTTCTAGGTTCACAACTCATTATAAAAAATACATGCACATTCTTAGGACAAAACCCCAAAGCCATGTGGCCACACTGCTGGGCCCTGCTGGGGCTGGCTGAGGCCCCTGACCCTCCCTGGCAAAAATACCTCCCTATGTGGCTCACACAGGGCAGCTCAAAGCCCTTGTGCACAAATGCTTTTCCAATTGCATATCTCATCCCCTCAATGTAATGTGCTCTGCTCTTTGTTTCATTATGTAAAGTATTTTACCATGAAAATGCTCTAAAAATTGTATGTCCTGTAAAAGAAAAAACAATGGAATTGTGACTTTCTTTGTGTTTAGTACCCAGATAAATATTTTATTGTTTTTGGCTAAAGTTCTTATAAATCTTATAGAGCCAAGTGTGAGTTCAAGATGCTGATTGCATATATTACTTTGGAAATGCTTGCTAAGTGCCAAGCCAGTGTTGCCATGGAGACAGGAGGTGAACGGGATTTAAAAAGGAGGTTATAGGAGAGTGGGGTTTCCTGGGTGGTAGCAGGATGGAGAGTGCATGCTGCCATGCAGAGCCTCCTGTGCAACGCCAGTGGGCCAGTCACCTCTGGGAGATTTGTCAGGTTCTGAGAGAGACCCTGACCTCTTAGATAGCCTTCAGAGTATGGAGAGCAGGCAGGGGGCAGGGGTTGCGGGTGGGCATGGCATCGATCCTGCGGGTCCTGCTGGGGAAGGTGGCTGAGAGGCAAGTCTTAGACCATGCACAGAAGTTTGCAGGAGTTAAGAGAAAGCATTGCCCATGTGATAGCTGGTCATGTGGGCAGGGCAGGGATGGTGAGAAACTGAGGCAGAGAGGAAGTCTAGGACAGTTTGAAGTCAGTGACGCACTTTGAGAGGCGCACAAGTTGGGGAGTGTGCAAGGTACTAGGAGCTATGACCTGTGCGTTTCACTGGTTCACTCACAGTGCTGGCCTGTGGTTGTTGCACACAGTGTGTAGGACCTCTAGCCATGCTCCTTCCCCCACTGGACACTCTCCTTTCCCATGGCAGCTCTTTATGTCAGTTAAGACCATCCCCAAAAGCCTCTGGTCCTTGTGTGCAGAAGCCTCTGGAGCAGGGACCAAGTACAAGTGTGGCTTACCCCTCAGAGGCACTCAGTAGTCCAGCCCCACAATTGATTTGTCTGCGTGGCCTGTACTTACATGCTCTGCATCTGAAATTCAGGTGCCCCCTGACCTTTCTTCCCCTGTCACTTTCAGGGAGAAATCAACATTTTGATCTTTGAGTCATACCCTCTGTATTAGCTCTCATGATTTTCTTCCTTCCTCCCTTCCCTTCCTTACCATATCCTTTTCCATTCTCTCTGTCCTTACACACACACACACACACACACACACACACTTCACTCATCCATTTATGCCTCTTATTTTTGGCCCTGCCATTGAAGCACTGAGCAAGATGTGTAGATGGTCTAGCAAGAGTGTACACTGCTCGGTACATAACTAGGAACTAGAAGATTCAGTGACAAGTCTCTCTAAGGAAAAAGGTTGTGTCCACCCAGAATCAGAAGAGTGCAAATCAGAGTCATGTAGTCCTTGTCCAGGATGGACCTGGCCCAGGGACACCAGAGGGCATACCTGTCACCCTTGACTATTAGAACAATACCTTCCACCAATGTCCTACCCTCTGTCTGCCTCTGCCCCAGAAGGTGAACTGGATTGCAGGTGGATGTGTTGAGTTGGAAATAGGTATGAGGAATGTTTTCCAGTGCACATGCAACTTGGTGTAAAGTAGCCATAAAAAAAGTAATCACAACATGGTGCATTTTACAGAGACAGTGAGATAGCTTATAAGAATATACATTTGTATTCCCTATGAGCAAGGAACAAATGTAAATTAGGATGAAAGATGAAGAATGAGAAAGCTATATCTTCCATTGTGTTTCACAAGATGGATACGAAATCCAGAGGAGATGATATAAGCAGTAGTCTTCAACCTTCTGTGTGGGTGGGAACACCCTGGAGGCTGGTTAAATGCACAGATTGCTGGGTCACCCCCTCCTTGACCTTTTAACTCACTAGGTTTGGGTAATGGCTAAAGAACTTGCATTTCTAACAAGTTCCCAAGTGATGTTTATGTTGCTGGTCTGAGGACCACATTGGACCCTGTTGGAGAAGCCTGTTACCTACCTAAACTAGATTAAGAACAGTAATCATCTGAGGTTTTCAGAGTTCATTGGACAGTCTCTAACCATATGTGTGCTAGAAAACTGTCATTTCTGAGGGTCCTGCAACACAACCCAAATACTGTATTATTTGACTGGTTGATATACATACCTTAATACTACTTCTATTTGTAGAAACTTAAGTGCAATAGTAGAGAAACTCAGGTCATGAAGTCCAACAGGCCCAGCCACTTAACAGCTCTGTGAAGACAACTTAATTCATCTCTGACCTCAGTTTACTCAGTGATAAAATGGGGAAACTAGTGTTTTATCTGAGATGTCGTGGGGATGAACAAAGTAATGTATATAACTCAAA